TCCTCCTCCTCCTCCTCCTCCTCCTCCTCCTCCTCCTCCTCCTCCTCCTCCTCCTCCCCCTCTTGTCCCCACTTCCCCCCGCCTCCCTGCTCCTCGCTCCTCCGTCCCCCTCGCCCGAGATCCGGGCCGCTGCCTGTGGGGCGCGCTCACGCTGCGGGCCCGGCCCTCACGCGCTCCACGAGCGTGAAGGTGTGGTCGCACCCGGCCACGCCCGCGTTGGCTCCCCCGCAGTGCGGGTCGCCTGAAGGCGCCCAGGGGCACACAAATAAATGGACATAAATCTCAGGATCCTCCATATTTTCCCATGCCCACTTCCCATATGTTCTACATTTTCTTCGGAATCGACGATCATTAGTGTCTGTGTCTTTTTCCCCTCCCTGATCGCCCACGCCCGTCACAAGCGCGACGAGGTGGCCCCGGCCGTCCTCAGCGGAGCACAAGAACAGCACAACCAAAAGCTTTCGGGCCCACAGGGGCTCCCTCCCAGCACTGGCCTGCGCGACTGGATTTGGCCTCTCCGCGGCCTCCTGAACGACGGACAGCTTCTTTTTGATGTGTCCGGCCTCGGGGGAGGATGAAAAACCGGCCCTGGGAAATGGGTCGAGACCTTTGGGGGACGCCCCCAGCCGTCCTTAGATTGGCGGCGAGCCCAGGGGGAAAGTGAGAGGGTTCGGGCCTTCTCAGAAGGCTCGGAAGTCCCCCAGCCTTCTTAACAGTTTTCTGAGCCTTTCCCCAGAGACACGGGCAACTTTTCTGAAGGCGCGAAGGCTTCTGAGAAGTCCCGCCGCCTTCTGAGAAGGCCTTCTCCTTCTCGTTTTCCCTCCCTCGCTCGCCGCCGACTAAAGGAACACAGGAAAACGGCACAAGCACATGCTTTCGGAAGTCCGCGCGGATTCTGGGATCTGCGCCAGAGCCCCCTGGCGGCGCCTCCGGCGCCGCCCCTGGCGCCCCGCGCGCCGGGGAGAGGGGCCCAGCGCGGATCCGAGGAGTCCGCGCGGGCCTCCGAGCGTTGACTCTGGTGCCGTCATGCCTGCGCTTCGGGTCCTGCACCACGCGGGGGCGCTCGCGGGCCCGCCACCGCACCGTCTCGCCGTCCTCGAAGGTGCTCTCCGCGGTGGCGGCCGCGACCGGGCTGACGTGCCAGTCCTCCGCGTTGCGGGAGAAGGCGTGGCCGATGCGGGCCCCGCACGCCGGCGAGGCCGCGGCCGAGGCGGCGGAGCAGGCCGGGAGCGGGCCGCTCCGGGCGTGGGCGAGGATGTGGTAGTTGCCGCGCCTGTCCGTGAAGATGTGGTGGTCCTCTCCAGGGCTGAACCTAAGCGGTGATCTTCGTTTTCGTTCTGTGTTCGTTTTCCCTCGTTTCGACTTCGATCCGCCTTTCTACCGCAGAACGAGGTCGAACGGAAAACGGCCCACGAAAACGCCAAAACACCGTTTAGGTCCAGCCCTGGTCCTCCCAGTGCACCTGCGGCCAGGCGGACTCGTCGCTGCTGAACTCGTGCCCGCTCCCCGCCAGCACGCTGCGCCACGGCAGCCTGACCCAGCCGCCCTCCCTCGCCTCTGCGAGGGACTCCGCGCGCAGGATGCTGGGCCGATTGGCCCTCGGCCCCTCGCGGCGCACGCCGTGCGCGGCGCCGAGCGCCAGCCCAGAGCTCGTGATCGAGAGGAGCGTGCCGTTCGGCAAGAACCACGGGTCCGTGCCTCCGTGCAGCCCAAAGTGCAGCCGCCTGGACGCCTGCCAGGGGCCGTACGGGGAGCCGGCGGTGACGGACTCGTTGAAGGCGTTGCCTCCACCGCTGCACGGCACGACCGCCCTCGGCTCGCCGAGTGCGGGCGTGGTCCCCCCCGAGCAGCCGCCGGTGCAGCCTCGGACAGAGCACTCCATGGAGCCCCGGGAGTTCTGCCGCAGGGCGCAGTGCTCCCTCTGGCCGGGCCCGGCGGTGCAGGCGCTGGCGCTGCTCGCGGAGCAGCGCGACGCCATGGTCTGGTTCCGGGGCAGCCGGCTGGAGTCGCCCGCGCCCAAGTGCGAGACGACCCAGATGCCAGACACGGGGTCCCTCGCTGGGGCGCAGGAGTGCGCCCACGCGTCGACGACAACGCCGCGGAAGGCGTACTCCCCGTCCACGGTCGGGGAGTCCGCAACGATGCACCGGGAATTTAGGTTCCAGGTCTGCAGGCCGCAGCCCATGTCCATCTCCTCCGCGATCATGACGAACCTCTTGCCGACGGGGTCGTACACGACACCTGCTCCCCAGGAGGAGGTGCTCGAGTTGATGGCCCCATACCCGGCGCGCCGCTTCGCCGGCAGCAGCGCCAGCACGGAGCAGTTGGCGCTGCCTGACCACGCCGCGTCGCACACGCACCTGCCCTCCCTGCACTCCCCGTTGAGGGAGCAGCCCAGGTCGTCCTCACACACGTCCGCCCAGCCGCTGCCATCGGCTGTGAGGCCGGCCTCCAGCTCGCCAGGGGTGACCGCGCCCGTCTGCTCGGCCTCGCCGCCGGCTGTGTCCGCCCGCGCGCGCTGCGGGCGCCCCTGGGCCAAGAGCTCCTCTGCCAGCGCCCTCCAGGCCGCGGCCTTCGGCGGCTACAGGCAGGAGTGGCCCCCGGCAGGGGATGGTCCCTGGTGCGCGGCCCCAGGGGGCCACGCGGGCAGGGGGAGGGCGCGCAGGCCAGTGCTGGAGGGAGGCCACACTTGACGTCATGATTGTGGTCGATGCGGCTTTCCAGAGGTCTGGGCCCCTTCCTGGGGACCGTCTTTTCTTCAGAGTCGTTTCTGATCGTCCTGGGGCCCAGTATGGACCCCCTGCTAAAAACCTCCCGCTGTGCTGTCTCCCACGACGCAAAGACCCTCAGATCTGACGTTGCACACAAGGTGCAACATCGAAGCACATCCCCACTGGAGCCCCGGCCCCCATCCTCCTGCGCCATGTTTCGAGCCAGATCGATCTGTGAGGGCCCCGGTGGTGAAGCACTTTCAGCGCCAGGATCTCAGCAGATGTCCGCCCTGTGGGCCCGCATCACGGACCCCTCCTGCGACGCGCCGCCCTGGCGCGCAGCCGAGGCCTCCGACGTGCCGTCCACACTGGCCGCGGGGGCGGCGGCGACACGCGGCACGCCCTCGGGCTGCGCCGGTGCGGCCGGCGGCGTGTGCACGGGCGGCGGCGGCGCCGCCGCCGCCTGCGCAGCTGGCTGCGGACGCTTTTGAGCAGGGACCGACCGTCCCGGCATTCCTACAGGCCTGCCAGGAGATCTTCTGAGGGGAAAGTAATGTTCTGAGAACAGAAGCGATGCTATCAGAACAGAAAGGCGATACATTGAAACAAGACGGTCTCGGCCAAAAATGCTCCGATTGCCTCTGGTGTAGGTAAGCCACAAGAGGTTCTTGTTTTACATTCTCTGGTGGGCCTATAGGCAAGCCAGGACACCTCGCCACTGTTTGAAGCTTGGCGTCGGCCTGGGCTGGGCTGGCCGGCGGCTGCTCCACCGCAGCCTGCTCCTCGGTCGCCTGCTGCTGGTCGGCCTCTGGCTGCTCCTGGTCCTCCTCCTCGGTGGCGCTGGCGGTGCCCGCCCCGTCGGCCGCAGCGGTCTCCACCGGCTCCGAATCGCCCTCTGCGCTCGAGTCGGACTCGACGTCGCTGATCACCACCGGCTGCTCTGAGGGGTCCTCGGCCTCCACGGCCCTCTGCTCCTAGAGCAGCAACAAAAACGGCATAAAACATACGTTCTCGGAGGTCCGTGCGGATTCCTTGGGTAGGCGCTGGAGGCACCGCCACAGGGGCCCGGCGCCGATCCAAGAAGTCCGCACGGAGCTCCGAGAACTTATGCTTATGCCGTTTTTGTTATTCGATCCTCCTCCACCAGCCGGTGCAAGTTCCGGTGCTGCTGCTCCGCAAGGTCCTGCTGCTGCAGCAGCTGGCCGCCTCCGAGGCGCAGGATCTGCTCGTCCGCGGTCAGCAGTCCGCGGCCCCTGTGCGCCCCCCTTTGCGCCAACTGCTCCCTGGGCATCGCCCAGACCGACCGCAGCTCGCTCTTCGCCGCGAGGATCCCCACCATCTCCTGGAGCTGCCGCTGGCGCTCCTCTGCCGCCACCGCGGCCGCCGCCTGATCCCGAGCCCTGCCCTTCTCTTGTAGAGGGGCAAACAACGGCACAAGCATAAACTTTCGACGGTCCGCGCGGATTTCTTGGGTCCGCGCTGGGCCCTCTTCACTGGCGCGCGGAGCGCGCCAGTGGCGGCGCTGGAAGCGCCGCCGGGGCGGGGGCCAGCGCCGATCCGAGAAATCTGTGCGGAGCGTCGAGCGTTTATGCTTGTGCCGTTGCTTCCCCTTCGGTCCTGGGCCCCCAGCATACCCCAGAGGTCTCGACCCATTCCCCGGAGCCGGCTTGTCATCCTGAATCGTTTTCCGACGGTCCCGAGGCCCAGCAAGGGTCCCCAGAGGCCGAAAACATCAGAAGCAGGTCCACCATCAGGGGGGCCCTGGAGAGGACACATCCAGGCGCGCAGGCCAGTGCTGGGAGGGGGCCCCTGTGGGCCCTCACCAACAGGAGGCCTCCTAGATGGGGTCCGAGTGAATGGGGCCGGATGATTGCACCGCATCGCCGATGCATCGGCGACGTCGGCGATGCATCGGCGACGTCGGTGTAGGGGTCTGAGCCTTCTCTTGGACCAGAGGGAGGGAGGGAGGGAAGGAGGAGGGGAGGAGGGAGGCGAGGAGGAGGAGGGGAGGAGGGAGGGGGGAAGCGGGTGGAGGAGGGAGAAGGGAGGAGGGAGAAGGGAGGATGGGAGGGGGGTCTCGGCCTTCTCTTGGCCCCCCTGCGCCCCGACGCCCTGCGCGTCCGCGCCCGCGGCAGGCTGGGCCGCGGCGGCGGTGGCGGGCTGGGCCACAGCGGAGGGCTGGGCCGCGGCGGAGGGCTGGGCCACGGCTGCGGCCTGTGGCGAGATCGGTCCGCATCGAATCAGAATTGTGCACCGGACCGGGCCGCATCGGCAAGGAGTCGGCATCGAATCGGATCAGCCGCGCCAGGATGCACAACAGCGCAGTGCAAGCATCGGGCCGCACCGGATCGTCGGAACATCGGAATCGAATCGGACCAGGCCGGTCGTAATCGATATCGAATTGGATCGATCGGATCGAAATGGACCCTGGCCTGTGGTGGGACGCAGATGGACGTGTATCCTCCTCGGAGGCGCGCGTCCGACCCGAACACCTAGTACAAGCATCTTGTAGTATGTCGACTCCCGAGCCGTATGGCCAGAAACCTCCCGCCATGGAGCCTACACCAGAAGATTTCTGGGCGCGCGCGTCGCCCCTGGGGGGGAGGGGCGACGCGTATAGGATGTTGGGCTGGCGCCGATGTGGGGAAGCAGGAGGACAACGCGACCGCGGTGCTGCCCCTCCCCCCCGCAGAGGGCGAGGGCGCGTTGGAAGGGCTCCGAGGCGGGGGCCTGGCCGTGGCGGCGAAGCCCCCCCCCCCCCCCGGGGGGGGGAGCGGGATATTTGACCATTCGTTTGACCCTGCCCCTCATTCTTCGGGACCGTCCGCCCTGACCTTCCGTCCCTTCTTCGATATGCCTTGTGTCCTTGGAGTGGAAAAAAGTGTCCATGAGCTTCGATGGATCCTTTGAGCTCTACCCAGTGTCCAAGACAGGTTCAACGCATTTCAACACACCGTCCAATATGCCTTGCTTTCGCCGGTATGATTGCGGTCAACATCATCATAGCAACCACGATCCTCATCACACAACTCATCATCAGCATCACCATCATTACCATCATCAGCATCGTCAGTATCATCATCCTCCTCCTCCTCCTCCTCATCCTCCTCCTCATCACCATCAGCATCATCACCAATATCCTCATCATAATCGTCATCAGCATCACAATCATCATCATTAACTCGTCATCACCATCACCATCACCATTATCGTCACCACCATCATCATCATCATCATCATCATCATCATCAGCAGCAGCAGCAGCATCACCATCAGCACCAGCATCAGTATCAGCATGACCATCGCCAGCGCCATCTTCATCACCATCGCCGTCACCATCACCATCAGCATCATCGTCACCATCGTCACCATCATCATCATCATCATCATCATCATCATCATCATCATCATCATCATCATCATCAGCATCATCATCATCATCCTCGTCGTCGTCTTCGTCGTCGTCATTAACATCACCATCATCAGCATCAGCATCAGCATCAGCATCAGCATCAGCATCAACATCAGCATCAGCATCAGCATCAGCATCAGCATCAACATCAGCATCAGCATCATCACCATCACCATCACCATCACCATCATCATCACCACCACCACCATCATCATCATCATCATCATCATCATCATCATCATCATCTTCATCATCATCATCTTCATCATCATCTTCATCATCATGAGCATCATTATCATCAGCATCAGCATCAGCATCAGCATCAGCATCAGTATCAGCATCAGCACCAGCATCAGCATCAACATCACCATCATCAGCACCAGCATCAGCATCAGCATCAGCATCAGCATCAGCATCATCATCAACATAATCAGCATTTCACGGGATGATCAACGAACAACGCGAACCCACGTCCAAAAGCATGGGTGAGCGGGGGAGGGGAACTGGCCAGAAGCTACGGCGCGGGCTCTCGGACTCCAGCGGGGGCCCCGGGCCCCCGTGCGAGCGACCGCCTCCGTCCGACAGCGTGCGCCCGCGGCCCGACCGCCTCCCCCACCCCAGCTCTCTGGGTACCGGTGCGCGCTGTTCGTGGGGGTCAGCTGTTGGACGGGCGCAGGACGCCAGTAGCCAGCATATCCTTTGGCCAGAAGCGGCTGCGCAAACGCAACGTCGAACGGAGGCCTTTGCGTGGGCGGTGCGCAATCCGTGCGAGGGTTGCGGATTCACCGCCACGGAATCGCCTGATTCCTGACAGCGCTGGGGTCGTTCAACTTTGAACGATCGGCCGCCCCACCGGCCCCGACGAACCCTTTGAGTTCCAGAAGGTTCCCTGACGTTGGGCCAAAAAGTGCCACGCGAGAGCTTCCTGCGGGGCCTCCTCCTAGGCGCTTCTTCGGGGCATGAGCCTCCCAGGGCCATCGCGAGGATCTTTCTTCAATGAGGCCGTTTTCAAAATTCAGGGCCCCCCCCCCGACGAACGCGAGCCTCTGGGGGGGGGGCTTGGGGTGCTACCCGAAGTGAGATCTCTGGCCTCGTCCCTGAAGGCATCTGGAGTATCGCACTTGGAAGCTCCCGAAGTCCAATATTAAGAGCCTGCGTTCAACACCCCACGGGGCCTCCAATAAGAAGGCTCCCCGGGTTTCCGCCATGGGCACCCCGCTGACCTCGCGTGGGGGTTTGCTCAAGAACATGCGGCTGAAAACAGCAGGAGGCGGATCGCGAGGATAACTTGAGATCGGCGGGGGTGCCTTTGGATTTCCTGCAGTTTGCTTTGGTTCGCCAGGATTCGTCTGAGTTCTGTCTTTGTAGTTCGAGCTGTATGCACATACAGACTAAATACTTGCAGTAACATTTCTGGTCGTGTTATTTTCCAACCACTTGCGGTGAAAAGACAAATTCGTCTGAGTTCCCCTGGATACGGCAGGATTCACCGGGCTTCGTTTTGGTTTGCTTTGGTTCGCTCGGGTGCAGGTGAATTCGTCTGGGATTTCCTTTGGTTCGCCTGGGTTCGCATGGGTTCGCGTTGGCTTGCTTTGGTTTGCTTTGGTTTGCTTTGGTTTGCGTTGGTTCGACTGGGTTCGCGTGGATTCGCATCAGTTTGCTTTGGTTCGCCCGAGTTCGCGTGAGCTCGCCTGGGTTTGCTTTGGTTCGCCTAGGTTCTCCTGGGTTCGCTTGGGTTCGCGTTGGTTTGCGTTTGTTCGCCTGGGTCCTCGTGGATTCGCATGGATTTGCTTTGGTTCGCCTGGGTTTCGCCTGGATTCGCCCAGGTTCACGAGGTTTCACTTGGATTCGCATTGTTTGCCTGGATTGCTAAGCACTACAGGGTTCGGCCTCACACTTTAGAAATAGTTGACTTAGGTTTCGCCGAGATCGTGCGAATTAGACGATTGTTGACAAGACAGCTGCAAGGGTTCAAACGGAAACGTATAGCTGTTTCAGTGAGTTTCCATGAGATAGCGTTGAGTTTGGCAGCTGTTCTTGTTGTTATTTGCACACCTAGGCAACACTATTGCGAGACTTGTGGAATTGTTCCGAGTTGTGTAAAGTTTCCCTGTGTCCGTGTGTGTCTTTGTTGTCTGAGCTTGTCCGTGGATGTCCTTAGATGTCTGTTTATGTCTCGATGTGCCTTGATGTGTCGCGTTTGTCTTCGCGCATGTCTTGAAATGTCCTTGGATGTCTTCTGTTTGTCTTGTGTTGTCTTGGTTTGTCGTTGCGCATGTCTTGAAACGTCCTTGGATGTCCTGGGTGGTCCTTTGATGTCCTCTGATGTCCCTGGATGTATTGATTTGTCAGTGTCTGTCTTGTGTCAAGACGTTTCAAGACATTTCCAAGCATGTCCAGACACTCCGAGACATACCAAGACATTTTAAGACATGCTGAGACATTTCCAAGCATATTAAGACATGCCAAGACATTGCAAGATATATCAAGACAATGCAAGACATTCCATGCTACAGTTCAAAACAGATCAAGGCATACCAAGACATTTCAGGACAATTCAGGACGTGAAACGACAAATCTGGACATGCTCAGAAACCTCAACACATTTTCCGATACCCCAAGACATTGCTGGACATTCCAAGACATTTCAAGGTATCCACGGACAGTCCCCGACCTTTCCAGACATCCCAAGAGAATTACAGACCTGCCAAGACATTTCCAGACAGTTCCAGACAGTTCCAGAATCCCAGGGCACTTCCAGACATGTCCAAATATGCCCAGACATGTCCAGACATTCCCAGACATCTCAAACAACGTGTCTCCGTCTCAGGCCCAGAAGCGCGGACATTTCTAAACATTTCCAAACATCAAGGTCTGGACATGCATGAAAATACCAGACAATATCTGGGAATGTCTGGAAATCTCCGCGCTTTCGGGCCCGAACGCGCGGACATTTCCAGACACTTCCGGGCGTTTCCAAGCATTCCAGGCATCTCAAGACAACGTGTCACCGTTTCGGGCCTAGAAGCGCGGACATTTCCAGACATGTCTAGGCGTGTCCAGACATTTCCAGACATCAATGTCTGGACATGTCTGAAAAAGGTCTGAATATTTCTGACATTGTCTGGCTATGTCCGCGCGTTCGGACCAACAGCGCGGACATTTCCAGACATGTCCAGACATCTCAAGACAACGTGTCTCCGCTTTCCGTCCCGAGAACGGAGGCGCACCGACAAAATGTGCTCGCTTTCGGGCCCGAGAACGGAGACACGATGTCTTTCGGTCCCAAAACGGAAACATGTGTTCGCTTCGGGCCCTGAAGCGGGGACATGTTTTCGTCTCGGAGCCAAGAACAGCGGCATGTCTCACCTTTCGGGCCCGAAATCGGAAACACGTGTTCGCCTCGGGCCCAGAAAAGGAGACATGTCTCCGTCGCTCGGGCGCGAAAACGGGAACATGTCCCGCTTTCGGACTCGAAAATTGGGACACCTGACCCAACGACGGAACCGCGTTTTCGCCTCGGCGCCCAAACCGGAGACATGTCCCAGCTTTCGGGCCCGAAGTCACCACCTGGTTTGAGGACCACTGAAAACTTCATAGCGTTCTGAGGATGTTACCTCCCGATGCCACCACCTGGTTTGAGGATCACAATTCGCTATTTGCTTCTTGGTGTGCCTGTTCGGTTCAATACTTCTCTTGCGACCGATCTTTGAAACAAAATGTCGCAAACCCATCACATCCAACACTCCACGTTGGTCTAGAACGCAACGGCATACAGCATGCCGAGGTAACAAGCTGACGCGCAAACATAGCACCACCTACGTCAAAGTGTGCCGCTGCCATGTATGCAGAGAAACTGGCAATGGCAAGGGTACGCGGATGTGAATGCAACGTTGGAGGATCCCGATGTTACCGCATTGAGTGCAGCTGGTGGGGATATGCGAAGCGTCAGTAAATTCATATTGTTGTAAACAAAAAACAAACGATCCAAAGATGTTCGAGACATCCCAAGGCATTTCAAGACATCCAAGGACATGTATTGCCTTCCGCACCTTCCGCGGAGACGGGAAGGTATGGCGCAGATGGAGGGGGAGGGGAGCTGAACTTCCAAAACTTCGGGGGGTGCTAAAGGTGTCCCTGGCCCAAGATGCTCCCAGCTTTTCGCTCAATCTTGGAGCCCCTGGGGCCTTCTGGGCCTCGTGAAGATGCTCTCGAAGCCTTGGGGGCCTCCTTGGAAATCCAGGGTGTACCTCGGGCCAGGGGCACTTCTAGCAACACCCGAAAGCTGCTGTCTGCGGAAGTTTCATGCCAGATCTCGGGACACCGGCCTGGAATGGGCGATTTTCATCGCCGATTGATCCGCGACAGGCCCCCGATAGAGGCACCGCACGCTCCTGGGCGGGGTGGGGGGCCCAGGCCCCGACTGGCAGTGAATTGAATGGGCGATTGGGGGTCGATGGCCCCCCCTCCTGCCGTTGCCCCTGAGGAAGCGGCATCGGCACCGCTGTGCCTTCCTCCCCTCGGAGCCTCGTCGGAGGGCCGGTGCTGGCACCGGGGGCCGATGCTTCCCACCTCCCCGCCCCCCCCTTCCCGGACGCACGCCCCCGAGGAAGGGGCACCCCCTCGGAGCCTCGGCGGAGGGCCGGTGCCGGCTCCAGCTGCGGTCCGCGGCGCCCGCCGACGAGCGCTGCTGCCGCTGGTGGCCTCGCTGCTGGCCCTCGGCAGCCAGTCCGACCTTTGGCACAAAGGCAACTCGAATCTCCTATCGGGGAGCTTTCCTCTCGGCTGATACCCCCAACTGAATCTTGGGGGAAGAATGGCCCAGATGGAAAATGATCCTGGAACGGCGCCCCAGGAAAGCGGTCCAAATGGGAAATCATCCGTTTCAGGCTCCAGAAATCTCACCCCAGAACGATTCCAGGGGTGACTCTGGCACCTGAAACGGGCCGATGCCGTGAATCGGGTCCCGAGGGAAAGGAGCCCTGAACCCCGGGGCACTCCCCAGGGCCAGCTTTTCATCCTGCGGGTCGTTGCTTGATGGTCCAGGGGCCTCGGGACGGCCCCGAGGGCCCGAAATCGGGGGCAACGGCGCAGGACCCGTTTCCCTTTTCTTCTCCCGCTGCACGCACGAGCGTCCACAGGCAAGGAGTGACGTTTGCTGCGCGGCTCTGAGGGGGGGGGGGGCGCCGGGAGGCCAACACACAGGCGCGCAGGCCAGTGCTGGGAGGGGGCCCCTGTGGGCCCGCACCGGGGGCCACTCTGGCGAAGGGTCACCGTTGCGCGCCGCCGAGTCACGACGACCTGCACTAGCGCGACGTCGAGGGCTGCCGCGCCGGCTCCGTGGCCCCGCGCGGGATCGAGGGCGACGGCCGTGCACGCGGCCGCGAGGCACAGCGGCACCGCCCGCGCAAGCTGGGCGCCGGGGCTGGCATATGGAGTGCGCGGCGATCGGGTCACCATCTGCGGGGCATGTGGTATGGACCTCGAGCCCCCAGGGCGGCCACGGAGTGCAGCTTCGCCCAACCCTGCGCGATGGGCGATGTAAAGCTTCGGGCCCCCGCAGCCCTCGCACCCTGTGTAAGACATGCGTTTCGCCTCACAACGATGTAGTGGTCTGGCGGTGCCCAGGGGGGCAACGGGGGCACGCCGCACTGCGACCACCCTTCGAACAAAAAAGCCAGCGCCAGCCTCTACGCGGCCAGCTCGCGGCCAGAATGTGCGCGCAACGCTTTGTCATGAAGGTTGGGAGAGTACGTGCTCACTGCGCATGTATGCCCCGTCCACCCACGAATATTGATTGGAAAAACTGGGGACGTGCGAATAATCGCTGAGCGGTACCACTGTGATTAACGGGAACGATGCCTAAATACTTTTTGTGGCCGCTGCCGCAGAACGTAAGCGCCCCCCCCCCCAAAGCGCTGGGAAGGGCGCATTCGTCACGGGCCTACCCGCTGATCGGGCAGGCACACTGCGCCGCCGCGCGGCTCACTGCCCACCCGAAAACTCAGGCAACTGACGCGCCACGCTCAAAGCCGCATCGCTCCATACCACCCGCGGCGACGTGCCTCGGGGACGGAGGAGGAGGAGGAGGAGGAGGAGCAGTAGCAACAGCAACATAAGAAGCAACAATAGGGAGGAGAAGGGGTCGGACCTTTCCCGCTTTATTTATGCTGCTTGTTGTTTGCCTGATTCGCAGACCTGGCGAGCCAACCGCAAGCGAGTCCGTGCTGGTGTATTACGTACCCCTCGGATTCGGAACATTTTTTGTTTCGAACCTGGCAGCGGCGCGCCAGTGACAGGGTTGCTCTCGATTGAGTTCAACGCTTCTTTGAACTCAACGGGCGCCTCCCCCCCCTTCTCCCCGCCACCAAGTCATCTGTATAGAGTAACTCATGGAGGGGAAGGTCCAAGACCGTGACGCCCTCCTCCTCCTCCTCCTCCTCCTCCTCTCCTCCTCCTCCTCCTCCTCCTCCTCCTCCTCCTCCTCCTTCTCCTCATCCTCCTCATCCTCCTCCTTATCCGCCTCTGGAAGTCCCTGGAGGCCTTGCAGCCGAGGCCCCAGAAAGGGCCAGAATTGCAAAGAAGCCCGAACCCTGGACTCCCGAATCTCGACTCGGAGGGTCTGAACTGGTTGGGGCCCCAGAAAATCAATCAGGAGAGGGCTGGGACAAGGCCAAAACCGCTCAAAATCGGTCTCCACACCCCTCCCAGGCTTTATCTGGTACAGTTGTTGACCCCAAACCCGTTTTTCATTGTCCTGAGGCCCGGAAGCGGCCCCCGGAGACAGAAAAGGGCAAACAACAAAAAACCTGAGCCTCAAGCCTGCGCGCCCTTCCTGCTGGACGGAACCAGTGCTGAGCCACCTGAGACCCCCAGATGGTTCCAAATCTCGAAGGCGATCGACGGCGGAGATCGGCGGCGGTGGCGACGCCGACGACGCACAGCGGCCAGGTCCTCTGCATGAAGGACTTCAGGAGGGGCAGGCCCTCGCCCGTGACGCTGGAGGCCGTGTTTCCAGAGCACGAGGATGGAGGAGCAGGGAGGAGGCGGGAGGGAAGGAGGAGGAGGAGCAGGAGGAGGAGGAGGAGGAGGAGGAGGAGGAGGAGGAGGAAGAGGAGGAATGTGGAGAATGAGGATGAGGAGGGATGAGGAGGAGGAGGAGGAGGCGGAATAATAATGGCAAAAATAATAGGAGGAGGAGGAGGAGAAGGAGGAGGAGAGAGGAGGAGGAGGAGGAGGAGGAGGAGGAGGAGGAGGAGGAGAGGTTCACACCTAATGTGAGCAAAGCAGAAGGGGAGGGAGAGGAAGGAGGAGGAGGAGAGAGGAGGAGGGAGGCGGAGGAGATGAGGCACGATGAAGGGAGGGAGGAAGAAGAGGACGGAGGAAGGGAGGGAGGGAGGGACGGAGGGAGGAGGTGAAGGGTGAAGGGTGGAGGGTAGAGGGTGGAGGGTGGAGGGTGGAGGGTGGAGGGTGGAGGAGGAGGAGGAGGAGGAGGAGGAGGAGGAGGAGGAGGAGGAGGAGGAGGCACAACGCTCGCTGGAACGCAAGCGATTCTGGCGGCCTGCCGCCGCTGCCGCTTCCGGGAGGCAGATCGGCTGCGTGGAAAGCTCCAGCGGTGGCCGACAAAACGGAGCTCGGGGCCACGGCAGCTCCGAGGATGAGGAGGAGGGAGAGATGGAGGGTGAGGAGGGAGGGAGGGAGGGAGGAAGACGATCGTGCACGTTTGATGTTCTTGGCTCTTCTGGTCCTCTGGAGACCCTTCGGCACCTCTGAAGGTCCGTGGGGGGCCTCCAGGGATCTCCGTGGATGATGGGGATGAGTAAAAGAAAAAGGAGGAGGAGGAGGCGCAAGACAAGGAGGCGAAGGGAGGAGCTCGATGAGGAGAACTGTGAGGACGGGGGAGCAGGAGAAAGCAGAGGTCGCTGGAAGCCTCGAGAGACCCAAGGCAAGCCAAAAACGTAGAAATAAACTGGATCCTCGGACCTCGATCCTCCAACATCGACGGCGACCGACAATGACATGAATAACAGCGACAACAGACGACGGACGACGGACGACGAACGATTAACGACGAAGGACGAAGGACGAGGGACTGACGACGGACGCCGGACGACGGACGACGGACGACGGACGACGACGACGACGACGACGACACCCGGCGGCAGGATCCTCTGAATAAGGAGGGAAGCCCCTGAGGTACTCGATGAGAAGAGGGCCAGGGGGAGAGGGCCAGGATGAGGATGAGGATGAGGATGAAGATGAGGAGAAGAGGAGGAGGAGGAGGAGAAGGAGGAGAAGGAGCAGGAAGCCCAACTGGGGCGACAAAGACATCACGGTACTTCTGCTCCCTGGACTTCTCCTGGGGTGCGCTCTGGCGAGGTTCCCGCGGGCAATCAAACCATGGCGACGGCCGGCCCCCGGGACGCCCGCGAGGGCGAGACTAGGGACGGGTACTGACGGGTACTGGCAAAGGTTTTGGCTCTCTCCTCACTTACCCCGAAATCCAAGTCCACCACGGGCCTCAAGGCGCTTAGGAAAACCTGACCGCCTTGGCGCCCCCAGTAGCTACGACTACACCATCGGCTGCACCGACTGCGACCCTCTGGGGAGATCCCACAGGAGGAGGACGACGGCGGTACGGACACGGACGTCATCTCGTCAACCCACGAGACCGATTACACCTGGAACGGCCTTGCGGACCTTCCCGAGGACCAACACGCCCGAGACCGGGTACACCTGGAACGACCTCTCTCCTTACATTCCCCCATCCTCTCCTCGAGCCCATCCCGACTCTGGCCCTCCATACCAGATCGTTTTCCGACGGCCCCAGGGCCCAAAGTGGGCCCCCAGGAGGCCGAAACCGAAGACGTGCTTTGACCCTCGAACCTCGCTCGATCCACGAATCTCGAGGGGCATCGGTGTCGGCATGCGTCTCCACTCGGACCCCCAGGGGGCGGTCCTCGAGATGCAGAAGATCGGGCAGACCCGGTCGGACTCCAAGCCCTCCGCCGCGGGGCCCAGGTCCTCCTCCCGCTGCAGCTTCAAGGGGATCTTCCCGACCGCCTCCGGCAGCCATCGGCGGCGACGGCCACGACGGACGACGACACCTCACTGACGACGACGACTTCTTCTTCTTCTTCAGCTCTTGGCAGCGGGAGGTGCACCGAAACGGCTCTGGCCTGCGAAGCGACCGAGACTCTACAAAAACTGTTGCTGGGTGCTACACCCTGAAATAGGGTATAGTCGGCCCGCTGGCCCAGGACATGGGCTCTGGCCTGCTCGCACCCTGCAGGGGAATTCGGGGCGAGATAGCACCCCTGCTAGGGCCCGCAACGTTGGGTCAGTCGAGCGAACAAAACGAATTTCTCTTGGAGACTCAAGACTCCCTTGGCCAGGAAAAACGACGACGACGACCACGACGACGACGACGAACGACGGACGACGGCCGACGGCCGACGGACGACGAACGACGGCCGACGGCCGACGGACGTAAAACGACGCGAAGATCGGGACAAAATCGGATCGGGATAACTCGAAATCTCTGAGAATCGGCGGGTTTGGAGGATGTATTGGGCGCCGCGTCCGCTCCAGAGCGTTCCGGAACGCTCTGAGAGCGCTCCGGAACGCTCTGGAGCGATTTATCCCGATCCTAGCCCTGTTTTAGGAAGCTGGACGCCGGACGACGGACGACGGACGCCGGACGCCAGACGACGGACGACGACGGGGGCCTTCGACGGCCAGTGGCGGCCTTCGACGGCCAGTGGCGGCCTTCGGCGGCCCCTGGCGGCCTTCGGCGGCCATCGGGGGGCCTTCGGCGACCTCCGGCGGCCATCGGAAGCCTTGGATTTCACGATCCTGCTGAGCATCTCGAGGTTCTCCTCGTACACATTCGTGGGAGCGATGTCGATCTTCGTCACCTGGGGGGCGCACGGCCCCGCAGGGGCCCTCGGCCTGTCGCCTCCCGCTCCTGCGCCTCCGTCCTCCTCGGTCTCCGGAGGCCCACGGGCACCTCTCCAGGCCTGGAAGCCGGGGTCCGAGCAGGTGGGGCCGTAGAGTCAGCCCGTATGGTCAGTACGCGCGATGAGGGTGCCAAGGGCCTCGGGAGGCCATGCCGACGCTTTGCGAGCGGGGCGCGGCCAGCGCAAGCGGTCAAGGATGGGCCGAAGAGGAAGGGTGCGAGAGGGTAACCCTGGAAAGTTGCTCATCCTTGCTATGCGGGCAGACTGTAAGATCGCGCCACATCGCCGATGCATCGGCGACGTCGGTGTGGAGAAGATCGGGCCCGACATCGAGCCGCATCGCCGATGCATCCGCGATGCCATCGGCGATGCGGCGCGATCATCCGACCCGATCTTCTCGGACCCCATCCAGGGAGCTTGGAGGACTGGAGGCAGCTCTCCGCACCCAGAGCTGAAAACGAGACACGACAAACCTAGGCCGCTCCTCCTTCACCTCCTGCGAACGCCACAGGGGGTCTCTGGAACGCCCACCAACGCGACCCCACGCTGTTGACGTGGCGGCGCGACCACATGCGAGCGCGCCTGACATCCACACGTGCAACGAAGCTGGGAGGGAGGGAGGAGAGGAAGAGGAGGAAAGTGGTGCCAGACGTGCGGGTGGCACCGAACGCAACCCCGTCAGCCGCACGCCAGGAGTGACCCTGGGCAAGGATGACCTTTCGTTCTCTGCTTTAGGGGGCCGCTGTACGGGGCCGAAAGCAAGCAATCCAAGCGCGCCAGCCAGTGCTGGCGGGAGTCCCGCGTGCCCGCGCCAGTAGAGGCCTCTCAGATGGGGTCGGCGTAGATGGGGTCGAAGGGTATCGCCGCATCGACGATGCATCCGCGATGCATCGCCGATGTCGGCGTGGAGAAAAACGGTCTTCGCATCGAGCCGCATCGGCGATGCATCGGCGATGCAGCGCGGTCTTCCGACCCCACGGACCCCATCTGGGAGGCCCAGAACCGAAGGTCACTCCGGTTGCCGACCCCGCACCCACAGGATCAGCGCGTGCACCAAGACGAACGCGTGCATCGGCTACACGCAAGGAGACCCTGGGTAAGAGCGACCCTGCGCGGCATTTTCGGGGCCGCGGGAGGGCCAAACACAAGCGCGCAAGACGCCACTGCCGCCTCGCGTTCGGCGATCGGGGGACCCTCGTGAGCCCGCACCAACGGGTCACTCCGGCGGAGGGTCACTCTTACGTAGAGTTGAGTGCGAGCTGCGCCGCGGCGGCCAGCAGCACCTGCACCTGGTAGCGCAGCAGCTACGCCACCCTCTGGCGGCGCGTAGGGGCGCTCTGCGCGGTCCGCCCCCAGGGCTCCTCGCAGCTGCCGAGCCCTGGCCACTCGCCCAGTCGGGCACACCTGGATGGGGTGAATTTTGATAGAACAGAAGATGGCGTAAACATAAGCGCCACGAAAGTTTTGACTCGCCCTGTGCTTCCACCAAGACAGCCCAGAAAGAAGGTTCCAATGGTGGGTTCGACATCGATCACGCAAGGTTCAAAAATTCTGTTTTGGAGGAAGTCCTGGGCGGGAGCGCCATTTCGAAATCCAACCAGAAAGGTTTCCAAGGAACAGAAGATGGCATAAACATAAGCTTTTGGAGGTCCGCGCGGACTTCTTGGATCGGCGCTGGACCCCGCTCCCTGGCGCACGGAGCGCGCCAGGAGAGGCTCCAGAGGCGCCGCCAGCGGGCTCCAGAGCCCATCCGTAAAATCCGCGCGGACCTCCAGAAGTTCATTCTTATGTCATTTCTTGTTCCCCGAGCGCTGTGGCCAAGACCCTGGGGAAAGGTCAGGCGTGGCGTCGGCTGAACAGCGCCTCCAGCAGTGCTGCTCCTGCAACTTGCGCGCGCCCGCTCCGGAGTGGCCAGGCCTTGCCCTTTCAAAACGTTTTGATGGGCCTCCTGGACGAGGATCGGCGCCACCCCGACGGACCAAGTGCGAGGCCCCGCCACTCGGGAGCGGGCGCGCGCAAGTTGCATGAGCACCACTGCTGGAGGCACGGATCAGGCGACGCCACGCCTGCCCCTTCCCCAGGGTCGCCGATCCGATCTTCGTCCAGGAGGGGCCACAGACCAGGGGGCCCGAGGCCGCCTCGGCCGCGGCGGCCCGGCACAGCTCGGGGCGCGCCCGCGGCCCAGGGCGAGGGCTGGGCACCGCCTCGGTGCCTCGGTGCCTCCTGCTGTCCTCCTCCTCCTCCTCCTCCTCCTCCTCCTCCTCCTCCTCCTCCTCCTCCTCCTCTTCCTCCTCCTCCTCCTCCTCCTCCTCCTCCTCCTCCTCCTCCTCCTCCTCCTATTCCTCCGCTTCCCTCTCCTGCCCCTCCCCGCCGCCCCTTCCTACTCCTGAGGGGGAGGACGAGGACGAGTAGGACGAAGAGGAGAACGTGGAGGAGGAGGAAGAGGAGGAGGAGAAGGAAGAGGAGAAGCAGGAGGAAGAGGAGGAGGAGGATGAGGGGAAGCAGGAGGAGGAGGAGAAGCAAGAGACCCGCGGGGGGTTCGCAGTCTGCCACACGGGCAGCACTGCGCTGGATGGGCGGATGCAGGACCTGGCCGCTGAAGGAGGGGAGCCACCACGAGTGAGGAGGGTAAGGAGGACCTCATCCGCCTCCTGCTGATGATCCTCCTCCTCCTCCTCCTCCTCATCCTCCTCCTCATCATCATCATCATCATCAGCATCAGCATCATCATTATCATCAGCAGCATCATCATCGTCAACATCAGCATCATCGTTGTCGGCATCATCATCGTCGTCATCATCATCACCATCACCATTACAATCACTATCACGATCACCATCCCCATCATCATCGCCATCGGCATCATCACCATCATTATCCTCCTTATCATCATCACCATCAGCATCATCATCACCACCATCATCATCAGCAGCATCAGCAGCATCCTCATCCTCATCCTCATCTGCATCATCATCCTCATCCTCATCATCAACACCATCACCATCACCATCAGCATCAGCATCATCTCCATCCGCATCATCATTATCATCCTCATCCCCCTCCTCATCATCACCACCACCATCAGCATCATCGCCATCATCAGCAGCAGCATCATCATCCTTCCCTTGTCTTCTCTTCTCTTCTCGTTTCGTCGATCCTCTTCTCCTCTCTGTTCCTCTCGTCCCTCCTCGTCTCGCAACTTACCGTGCCGTCTCTTTTCCTATAATATCAGACCTTATGTTATATAATCGTATCTTACCTGATCGTATGTTATATTAGAAATATAGTATACTACATGGTAGTGCCTTATCTTCCGTATCTAATCTGCTATTCTCTTCTACCATCGTATCGTATATTCGAGTGTCGTCTCTTATAGCATATTCCCTTAAATTATAATATGTTTATTGTATGATCATACCTTCTCTTACCGTCGCATCTCTTCGCTTCTGTTCTCATCTCTTCGCTGCTCTGCTCTTCTCTTCTTCTCCTCCATCCTCCTTATCCGTCCACCCTCCCTCTGCCCCTGCCCCTCCTCCTCCTACTCTTTCTCACTTCTCCCCCTCCTCCTCCTCCTCCTCCTCCTCCTCCTCCGACCCCCCCTCTGCTGTCCCCTCCCTGTCTTCCTCCCCTGATGTCACCCTGCGACACTTCGTCTTCGTCGCCGTCCTCCCTCTCGTCCTGGTCGCCGCCCACCTGCTGCTCCTCATGCTTCTCTTCGAGCTTCTGTCTCCCTCCTCCCTGTCCTCCCCCCCAGCGTCGTCGTCCTCCTCCTCCGCCTCCTCCGCCTCCGCCTCCGCCTCCGCCTCCCCCTCCTCAAACGTCTGCCCTTCCCTCTAGCCTCTAGCCTCCTGTTCACCCGCGAGCGCGCAAGTCGCCACGAATATGAACGGTATCTTCAACGCCAACGCTATGCCGAGATGCTCACGAGACATCTTCTGGAAGCCCGCGTTGGCGTTCACGATGACCATCGCGTAGTCCTGCGCTCTGCGCACTGCGAGTAGACCGCATGACGGACGTGACGGTCCTTACACATGATCGATGGATGGAGAAGATCAGGAGGAGTACGCAGAGTCACAAAAAGGAACAGCACCTTCGTGATACCGGCGCGCTGGAAATACATGTGTGTGTGTTTCCTGTGAGGGGGGATGCTCTTGAAGTTTCTGCGACTAGCATGTGATTACGTGCTCTCTCAGTTGTCCTGAGCGTGTTCCCAAGGTTATGGCACTCCTATGCGCTCCGCCCTACCCCTCGCAACTGGATGGGCAGGAGAAAGAGGAGGTTAAGCGGGGAGAATGAAGCGAAAGACGAGGGGAAGGATCACGCGAATGCCTATCAGATTATCCCATGTGTCCTGGAGGAGACGAGGAGGAGGAGGAGGAGGAGCAGGAGAAGGAGAAGGAAACGGTTGAGGAGAAGGAGGAGGAACGCCGATCACATTATCCCTTGTGCCCTGGAGGAGAAGACGAGGAGGAGGAGGAGGATAAGCAAGAGGAGGAAACAGATGAGGAGGAGGAGGAAGACAGGACAGGACAGGACATCCGCATAAGGGGGTTCAACGTAGGAGGAGGAGGAACAAGAGGAGGATGTGGAGGAGGAGAAGGAGGAAGAGGAGAAGGAGGAGGAGGAGGAGGAGGACTCCAAAGAACGGCCACCCCATCCTCCGCGTAATTTCTTTTGGTTTCCTGAGGGTGTTCCCAGAGTTCCTACCACCAACACTTTGGATTGTCTGATTTCTTTGGTCTTCCTCAGGGCGTTCCCAGAATTCTGGCACTCCGCGCGCTGGAACACGCGCCGGCTGGTACACCGTCGATGTAGCTGCCCTCCTGACGACGCTGACGCTGCGGGCTGCCTCCTCACGGCGCGGACGCAGCGGGCCGGTTAATCCACGCGGGCTTGGAGCACTCGTAAGGACCCGCTGGGCGGTCGTCCAGCGGGACCGTGAAGCTGGGCAACGGCATTGTACCAGAGACCAACCACATTAATATGTACACGTACGCGGTCAGTTTCCGCTGGCCTGCGTCTGAACACGTTCACTCGTGCGCGGGACCGAGACTGCGCACATGCTGTATGATGTACATATCTCGCTCAGTGTACAGGAGGGAGCGCCACAGGGGGACGACACGAGGAGGGGAGGGACGGAGAGGCGTGCACAGCTTGGAGCAAGAATGTGAGTAGGGGCCCTTTCCCTATTCACCCTCTCTCCTACTCATGTGATTCGATGTTCCTACTATCATGTTTTCCTGTCTCCTACTCTACTCTCAGCGTTGTCCTCGTCGTGCCCCCCCTGTTCCTACTCCCCTTTCTCCTACTCTACTGTCAGCGTTGTCCTCGTCGTGCCCCTTCTCTTCCTCCTGCTCCTCCTCCTCCTCCTCCTCGTCATCATCATCATCATCATCATCATCATCATCATCATCATCATCATCATCATCATCATCATCATCATCATCATCATCAGCATCATCATCATCATCATCATCATCATCATCATCATCATCATCATCATCATCATCATCATCGCCGTCCTGCTCGTTTACTTAGACCTGCCGTTCCTCCTCCTCCTCCTCCTCATCATCATCATCTTCTTCTTCCTCCTCGTCCTCCTCCTCCTCCTCCTCCTCCTCCTCCTCTTCATTCGCCTCCTCAGGACAAGGGGGGAGGACGATGAATAGCGGTGCTACCGCCTCCCCCCCCCCCATGAGGTCCGGGCAAAGGCCGACAAGTCCGAAGATGGTGGTCTTCAGGTACTTTTCGTGACCTGCCCTCACATCCCTCTCTCGGCCTCTGTTCTCAAGGAGGGAGGGAGAGAGGGAGGCCAGAGCGGGGAGGATGGACGAACATATGGAGAGAGGGAGGGAGGGGAGAGAGGGAGAACCGAGCATGGAGCATAGGGGCACGCGGGGGCCGTCATGTGAGCTTTCTTTACATGTTTCGCTTGTGACCCTCGGCCCGGCCGCCTGGTCTGTTAGCTCGCGCGCGTGCCGTTCGCAGCACGAACCAAGCGAGAAGAGACCGCGACGCAGCCCCGCAATCCCAGTCGAGAGGGGCGCAGGCCGGTGCTGCAATTGCAGCTGGCGACGTCCGAGCCCTACCCCCACCAAACATCGATTCTCCTGCATCGATGGGAGGCGGGGCAGGGTTCAGAATCCGCCACGTGCTCGACAGCTTCTGAGCCCTCCCCGCCGCCCATCGAGCTGCTGGACTCGCGGCTCGGCGAGGGCAGGGTTCGGACTTCGCGGCCGGACTTGGCCGTCCCTGCGGGCTGGGGCGGGGGCCTCCCGGGCAGCCGCCCGGGAGGCCAGCCCCAGGCTCGAGCCCCGCAGCCGCCGCAGCCCGCCGTCGCCCGAGGCCGCCGCAGCCCGCCCCGCCGGCGAAGGCGCCGCCGCCCCCCGCCCGCCGCGCCCCCCGGCGCCCGCGGCGGAGCGGCTGCGCCGGCCGCGTGCCCAGGCTCCCTCGCCTCGAAGGCGAGCCCGGGGCGGGCGCTCGGCCCCGCGCGCACCTCCGCGGCGAGCGCGCCGCCGCGAGCGAGAGCGAGCTGAGGCCAGCGGCGGCCCGCACGGCCGCGGCGGCCCGGCGCCGCCGCCGGCAGCGCCGCGGCCGGCGGCCGCCACACCACGAGGGGAGTCGGCACGGGAACGCGTGCCGCTTTCGCCGCCTGCGCCCACGCGACGCCGCCGCCGCAGACGGCGCCAGCGACGACGAGGACGAGGACGAGGACGAGGAGGACGACGACGACAAGGACGACAACGAAGACGGCGACGACGACGACGACGACGACGACGACGACGACGGCGACGACGGCGACGACGACGATGAAGACGACGACGACGACGACGACGACGACGACGACGACGGCGGCGGCGACGACGACGACGACGACGACGGCGGCGACGACGACGACGACGACGACGACGACGACGACGACGACGACGACGACGACGACGACGACGACGACGACGACGACGGCGACGACGACGACGACGACGACGGCGACGACGACGACGGCGGCGGCGGCGGCGGCGGCGGCGACGACTCCGCGCCTCTGCCTCGGGCCGGCCGATCGAGGCGGGTCAGTGCGCCTCGGCCGCCCTTCCGAAAGGCCGTCTCGGCCACGGGCAGGGCCGCCCCTGCCGCTCGCCCCGCGGGGGCGCGGCGGTTGCGCCCATGGGGGCGTCGCCGTAGTGCGTGAGGACGAGGGCCGGCGGCGCCTCCGAAGGGTGTGGTCTGCAAAGGGCGTGGTTCGCAACCCGCACCCTGGGGGGCGAGGACCTCGGCTGAGGTTCTCCGCCGCGCCCCGAGGAGGCCCGTCGAGGGCCACGTGGTGCCCCCCCGAGCCCCAACGGCGCAGGTCGCAGACCACCCCCTGGCGGAACCACACCCTGTGCAGTCTCCGAAAGAGGGGCGAGCTGTCGCGTGAACTCCACGGGGCGTTGCAGGCGAAGGGCCGCGCAGGGCAGGTCGGCGCGCGAGGAGAGGCACCCAACTCAGCGAGAGAGGCTGACCCTCCGGCAGTTCCGAGGCAGCCCCCAAAAGTGCTGAAGGCGAGCCGCCCCCGGGCCGCGAGGGATCCCATGGCAGCGCGAGCAAGGGAGGGGGGAAGCAGGCCGCGTCTTAGACGGCGCGCAGACGAGGCCCGCACCTTCTGAGGAGCAGGGGTGCATCTGAGAAGCCTCCCCCCCCCTCCCCCGGCCCCCCTGTGCGCGTGGCCGAACCCCTCCCCTGGAGCGCGCAGCCTCGACAAGGAGGACAAACGGCACCTGGGGGAAACGGGCCCTGAGCCCTCGGACCTTCCCCCGGGACCAGCTCTGCGTCCCGAGCCGCTTTCCGCCAGTCCACGGGCGGACCGCGTGGTGACCTCGGAATCCCCAGAGGCCCCGCCGCGCGGGTTTGGAACCCTGGAGGCCCCGGCCGCCCGAGACGTCCCAGGAACACGGCCCGAGTCCCCCAAAACCGCGCGGTGACCGCGAACTCCCACGGACTCACCACGCGGTACTGTCACCACACCTTCTGGGGGACCCCCATCCAGGCCCCTGAGTTGAAGTCCGGTCCCTCCCCGAAGAATTCCGCGGCGCACGGCGCGAGAGGGAGATCGAAGGCCAACAGCCGAGAACGACGAGGGAAGACGGGGACACGGGGCGTGGGGAAGGCAGAGCCGCAGGGTGGGCCCAGAACGCTCGCAGATTGACAACAAGGAAGGCGAGCGAAAAACGAACCCTCCCACGGCAGGTCCGTGTCGTGTCGACCCCGGCGATGGTTCCTGACACCACGTGGATCCTTCAACCTTGAACGATGGGCCGCTTCCGAAACGTCAAATTTTTCAATATCGACCGATTCTGGGCCGCCGCCGGCGTTCAACCTTGAACCCGCAGATCTGAAGTTGCCAAAAAATCACAACATCGCAAAATATCACCACCGGAACCCAGGGCACCATCCGTCTGCGTCATGCTTCGAGCCAGACCGGTCCGTGAGGGTTCCTGGGCCCGAAATCGGCGGAAAACGATTGTTGTGAAAGAGCTGCAACGCCCAAATCTGAGGGAACGCTGGCGGCGGAGTCGCCGCCGGTCGCCACGACGCGAACCCATACCGCACAGAGGGCAGAGCCGTCTAGCGCAGCTCGCCCACGGCTCGGCGGCCAGCGCCTCCGCGCGCGGCCCGGGCCGAAGCGAGCACGGCGATCGCTGAGCCGCGGGGGGCCCTGGCTGCGAAGCGCCTCGACGGCTGGCCTCGAGGTGGCGTTCCCAGTCCACGGCGCCCTTCGCTGCCGCGTCGCCCTGGCGCTCCCTGACGCAACGCCGCCCCGCGTGGGCCTCCCTTGCACGCCATCGCGGGGTCTCTTCGCCCTCGCGCCTGGGCAGGGCCACGATCCTGCTGAGCGTTCCTGCTCGCCTGTCTCCTTCTGACTTCGGCCCCCCTCCTCCTCCTCCTCCTCCTCCTC